AAGAAGGCAAGCAGCTTTAACCCAAGACCACCAGTAAGGTGATAAAGCGTCCTCCCTTCCCCCCTTTACATCTACGCCCCTGTTCAGCATGAAGAAGCCAGAGAGTCGGCAACCAATTCCCAAATCAATAAGACAGTTGGTTTAATTACCATTCCTCTGTAGCATCTGGTTCCCACTGGACCCTCACCATTTCCTTCACCTACTCCCCCCACCGACCAAACTGTGCAGCTCTGCAACTGCATCCTGGCCCATCCTCACCCTTCTGCTCCCAACCCTCACCTCCTTGTACCCCCAATATGTTTTTCCCAAGGAAAAAAAAAAGAAATATACCCTAAAGAAACCAGAGCCACGACTCAAACATATGTATGTACACCCATGTTTATTGCTGCATTATTCACAATAGCAAAAAGAAGGAAGCAACCCAAGTGCCCATCAAAAAATGAATAGAAAAACTATGGTATATTCACACAATGGAATACTACTCAGCATTGAGAAATTAAAAAAAAGCATTACACAACATGGGGGAGCCTTGAAGACATTATGCTAAGTTAAATGTCTCAGTCACAAAAGGACAAATACTGCATAATACTGCTGTTATAAAATAGGACAGATATGGAGCGGTTGGAGAGGGAATTGAGAAAGAAAGGATAGATAATGAACACTGCATTAAAACGATGAGGGGGAAAACTTTCTGAAAGGAATATATGATTATGCATTCTATGTATGAGAACATTCTGGGATAAGGGGTGTAGGGTGGGTTGAGAGGGGAGGGGAGAGGGAGAAAAAAATACGTAACAATGAATTTTAAAAAATAATAAATTTTAAAAATGAAAAAATTAATTTGCTTGTCTATCTCCATACCTTTTCAACCTATATGCAGAACAGATTATCCAGGAGGCTGGGCTCTATGAGGAGAAGTGTGGCATCAAGACTGGAGACTAAGGTGCACCTGATACAGGCCATGGTCTTTGCAGTCACTTGTTATGCATCAGAGAGTTGGACAATGACTAGGGAGGATAGAAGGAGAATTTATTGCTTTGAGCTGTGGTGCTGGAGAAGAGTATTGAATGTACCATGGACTGCTAAGAAAACAAGCAGGTTCATCCTGGAAAGGGTTCAACTGGGCTGCTCCCTGGGGGCAAGGATTCTGAGGCTTCGTCTGATGTACTTTGAACATGTTGCAAGTAGGGACCGGTCCTTGGAGAGGGACATCATGTTTGGGAGGATGAAGGGACAGGGCAGGAGGGGAAGACCCTCTATGAGGTGGATTAATTCAGTGACTGGGGTAATCAAGGTGGGTGTGTAGGAGACAGTGAGATTGGCACAGGACAGAGCAGGGTTTAGGGCTGTTGTATACATGGTCGCTATGAGTTGCAAGCAACTCAACGGCACATAACAACAACATCAACAACAGCAGGCTTAGCGGACACTTCATAGTATTTTCAATAGCCTTCTTATATGCATACAAAAGCAAGACAATACAACTGAAGAGAATGATGCCTTTGATTTTTAGAAGTGGCATAGAATATTAAGCATAACCTGGACTACCAGAAAAAAAGAAACAAAACTGTTTTGTAAGTAGTACAACTAGAATGTTCCCTAGAAGCAAGGATGTCAAGAGTTCATTCAACTCAGGTACTTCAGACATGTTATCAGGAGAGAGCAGTCTCTAGAGAAGTACATTAAGCTTATATAAAAAGAGCAAGGGCCATATGGAGATGGCCATATCTAACCTTTATCAACTTCACAAATGGGAACTGTCCCCACCCACAGCATCAATAACATGAAATCAATCCTTATGAGAGCAGACATGTCCCTTTTGTTCCTGTACCTCTTTCTATTCACCTCAACACCAATCTTACTGCTTTGCCAGGTCCAAAATCTGCTTCAATAGTTCACAGACAACATAGAACCATACTGAAGTGGTCAAAATGTTATAATCCAGATTAATAACAAAATACAGTCAGGATAGCTCCCAAAATATACACACAGGCACCTCAGCCTCGAGCCTCATGGCACCTCAGCTTAGAGCCTCGTGGCCTCAGGCCAAAGTCCCCGTGTTTTCAGTTCTGCCAGTTTTAACTCTTCCCCCACAAGGTCCCATCTCACATCATGTCTCCAGTTCGGCCAAAGGTGGTGTTGTCATAGGTGTAGCTGGAGCAAGAAAGGGATCCTACATTCTCTTATTTCTTGTTCAATGGTGCCACAAGATGTCTCTCACTGCTGGCTTGCTCAATTCAAGGGCAGGACTAGCCAATCCCCTTGTAGATTGTTGAAAATGGCCAATCCCCTTGTGGAATGGTAGATAGCTAATTCCCTTATGGCTAAACTAACACATCCTATTTGCATATTCCCACCCATTCACCTAGCAAAGTCAAACAATGGCTAGGAAAAGTCATATTGAAAGATCAATTTAAGATAGCTTATGCTTAATAATGTAAAGTTAGTGAAAGAGAGGAAGACCCTCGCAACAGGGTGGTTTGATAAAGTGGAAGCAACAATTGGTTCAAGCATGGCAGTGGTTATAAGGCTGGCACAGGACAGGACAGGACTTTATTCTGTTGGACATAATGTTGCTGTGAGTCAGAACCAAATCAGCAGCACCTGAAGATAACAACAATAAGACATGAGGAGTAGAAAACTGAAGGGTCTTCAGGAGGAGAAGAAAAACAGAAAAAATAGCTGATGTGCCACATATATGTTACATATGTATACCACTAAGCATCCTGAGAAACTTTGTACCTGAGAACAATAGCTGTGCCAGATATAACAGTTGAAGGCTTGCGCCTCCATCTTGGATCCCTGGTGCCATAATGGTTAAAATACTTAGTAACTAACCTCAGTTTCAGCAGTTTAAACCTATCAGTTATTCCTCAGGAAGACAGAGCAAACAGTCTGCTTCTGTAAAGAATGACAGCCTTGACGACCCGGTGAGGCAGTCCTGCTCTGTCCTGGAGAGTCTCTATGAACAGGATCAAGTTGGTGACAACAGGTTTGTTTTTGTTTTTTTGTTCAATCTCCATCCCTCCATCTCCAACATCAGCCCTCTAAAACCATCCAAACAAAAGCAAAACATTAGTAATAGGAATAAAAATATCGGAAGTGACTAATTGATTTTTTTTTTCAATCAGTGGTGGGTGCTAACCCAAAGGTGATGTGTCTCCATTGTTCAAATCCACCAGAAGCGTTGTGTCAGAATTGATTCCATGACAGTAAGTTTGAATTTGAGTTCAATCGTTTGAATAGTGAATGCAATCATCTTTGGAAACTTTGGTTTTTTAAAAAAGCCTATAACTTTTCAGACTGAGTGAAAACTAGGTCAAGTTCCTATCAATTTACTTACGCTAACCAAAAACTGAAAACAAAGTAGATGCTCATCTATAGGAAAATGGGTAAAGAAATAAGAATATATTCATGCAATTAAGTATTACCTTGTAATTTTGAAAACACTGCAAAAACCAAAAAGAGATGAGTATACTCTATATTTGATTTCTATGAAGTTCAAAATGATGGTGATACTAATCAATGGTGAAAGAGGTCAGAGAATAATTTCTTTCCTTTGGACGGTATCAACTGGGAGGGAACATGAAGAAATCTACTGGGATCCTAAACATAAATTGAGCTGTGCGGTGGTTACTAGACGACATGCACAAAGCTGTAACTTAGAAGGAAGGCCCTTCATTGTCTGTAAATTCTACCTTGAGATAAATGAGGGAAAATCATTACATTTTCAAAGTATTGGCTTTGCACGTGCTATTTCAAGGCAAGTTCCTTAACTCTCTCCATCCCATCCTAGGCCACTACCTACCATTCCATGTAGATTTAAAAGCCTTCCCTTGCAAAGAACCTCAAGCTGACTATGTTCTTGGGCCTTGAGGGTGCATTTCTTTTGGGTTATCTAAGTCTTTGAGTGCTACCTGAGATCAGTGAGAGATTGGAGTTATTCATCAGGAGTGGGGTGAGACCCCATCATGACATCATGTCTGGGTAAGATCACAAAATCTGCTAAACCAGGACACTTTGGAGAACATAAGGAGATGCTTCCTGTTTGCGCTAGAACAACAAGCATAATCCTGGAAGTCTCAGGTTAGGGGGACATAATGGAATTTTTTGACATAAAAGCTATGAGGCGACCTGGAAAGTGCACATATGTGTGACTTGAGCAGGTTAGGGCCAGGGCAGAGAGTACACCAGGAGGAAACGGAGGCAGAGAGGAGTCTTTAATCTGTGCAGAGGGGTTCTCCGTGCTCACTTTCCAAGGAACTGGGCCTCTAGCCCACACCTCAGTTGCCACGCCTCTGCCTCCCTGAATTTACTGCCTTTTCCCTGGAACACCTAAGCCTGACCCCACACGCTGGCCCTCCCAGTCTACAGTTCCCCTGACCCTGGTCCCTTTCCCAGAACTCAGTTGCTTGAGCCCCTCGCCTGCGGTTCTCTCCTAGGCCTCAGCCTTTCCTGCCTTCGACTGAAACAGCAGCATCTTCTAAGCCCTGGGGGCTTCCCCGGGCCCCAGCCCTGGCCTAGAACCGCCCGCTGCCTGCCACGCAGCCACTGCCGCTTCCTCTATAAAGGGACCCAAGCGTCCGGGCCCAGGGGCCCCGCACAGCAGGTGAGACTCTCCCTCCCCGTCTCCTTTGCTGCCTGGCAGTGGAGTCCTGCCTCTTGGCCTGCACCTGGTCCCACTGGGTCCCAGCCTGCCCCGGGCTTGCTGTTGGTGGGTTTGGTTTTGGTTTGTGGCCCCCCATCTCTAACTCTCCAGCTGCCGGGTTTTTTCTACCTCTGTCATACATCTTCTGTTTCTGTCGCTCTGTCCTCCTCTGTTTTCTGTTCCTTTCGCATCTGTTTCTTTCTTTTTGCCCCATCTTACCTCAGGGTCTCCCTGACTGCATCTTTCTCTGTCTGTCGCCCTGTCTCTTGGGGTGGCTGTCTCCACCGGGTGGGAGGCCTTCTTCCGCAGTGCGCCCCGCCCCGCTCACTCTCTCTCCCTGCAGGTTCTCCACATGACACAGCCTGGCCATTTCTACCTTCTGAGGGTGCATTGCACCTCGCTCCTCCTCCTCCTTCTGGGGCTGCTGTTGGCCCTGCCATCTGTGACTCAGGTGAGGGAGCAGGGGAATGAGAGCATCTGGGGCGGCCCAGCCAACCGTTGGATCCGGAGCCCCGCCTAACTCTGTTCTCTCCTAGGGGCTCCCTAGGGTTGACCTCACACCCTCAGCTGTTCAGACTGCCCAGAAGCACCCCCAGAAGTACTTCACCCCAGGCACTCTCAAACCTGCTGCTCACCTCATTGGTAAGCATCCATCTGTCTGTTCCCAAACATCCAGCTCCCACTCTTCCCCTAGTTCCTCCCTAGACCTCAAGCACTCTCCCATCTCTGCCTCAATTTCCCCTGACCACAAAGACAGAGTGTTTAAAACTTGTATCTCCTACAACCATTCTCCAGGGACTAAACCTATTATCTGCTTCTCTAGGACTGAGAACTCTAAGTCCCCAGACCCTTTATCCCCTTGACTTTTCCTAGGAGACCCCAGGACCCACACCTCGCTGCGCTGGAGAGCAAATACATACCATGCCTTCCTCCGACATGGCTTCTCTTTGAGCAACAATTCCCTCCTGGTCCCCACAAGTGGCCTCTATTTTGTCTACTCTCAAGTGGTCTTCTCTGGAGAAGGTTGCTCCTCCAAGGCTACCTCAACCCCTCTCTACTTGGCCCATGAAGTCCAGCTCTACTCCTCCCAGTACCCCTCCCATGTGCCTCTCCTCAGTACCCAGAAGTCTGTGTGTCCAGGACCACAGGGACCTTGGATGCGCTCGATGTACCAGGGAGCTGTGTTTCTGCTCACCCGGGGAGACCAGCTATCCACTCACACAGCTGGCATCTCCCACCTCCTCCTGAGCCCCAGTAGTGTCTTCTTTGGAGCCTTTGCTCTATAGAACTTGGAAAAACCCAGAAAGAAGAGAAAAATTGGTCTCAAAGCCTACTCCCCATTTTGCCTCCATTCTGACAGTTTCAAGGTGTACCACCACCACCACCTCTCCCTTGACAGTCTCAATCCTTCCCTCACTCAGATCATCAGGAGCTTCCAAGAAGGAATTCTAGGCACTCAGGAGAGAGATCACACCACCCTGAGCCACCCCGGATGCTCTGCTAAGGTTTCAAGGCTGCCTAGAAATTCCCAGCCCAGAGCTGTCTGTCTTGCCGGTCTAGGTGGGGCCTAGAGCCAGACGTGGAGGAGGAGCGAGCACACACGTGGAGAAGCTAGAGTGGGTGATTTAAGAACAGGAGGGGTAATTATTTATGAAGGGGAAATTAAATTATTTATTTATAAAAGATGGAGAGAGGGGAAATAATAGGTAGTTAGAAGTGAGAAAGAGAAACAGACTCAAGCGATGAAGAATGAAAAGGCATCAGCACACAAAAGTCTGCAGAGAGAGGAGGGGTAAGGGTTCGAGAAGAAAGGGGGAGATTCTTAAGAGCTAGTCACAGCTTCACTAGACATCCCTGAGGCAAGATCTGTACCCTCAATGAAGATCAATAAACCTCTTTCCTCTGAAATGTTGTGTCTATCTGTCTGTCTGGGAGGATGGAATGTCCCAGATCTCTCTGTGAAAGGCTGGGAGAGACAGATGTCTCAAAGGGGGATGGTATATGAGAGACAAGGAGGTAAAGAGGTCCCAGGCACTGTGGGGGCAGTGGTGGTCTTGTCAAGGGGATGATTTCCATGGTGGTCTTGTCAAGGGGATGATTTCCACAAAGATCCACGGGCCTCTTCGAGTAAAAACTGGCAAGTTCTGACTTGGATATAAGACTTTGATAAAACACTGCTACAAGAAAGACACTGACACCAGGTGAGAACAAGAGAAAGATACAGGGGTTTATTAGACGTTCATAGCAGACTATGAATGGGCCAGGAAAATCTGACCCTACCCTTATCTTATATACGAGTTTATAAGAAGTTTTTTTAATGGGACTTGAGTTTATACAGCTTTCTGGTGGTGTACAGCTTCTGATGGATTTATGGTGGCCCTTGGGGTCTGCCCTTCTTCTATATATGTGTTTTCCTTGTGTTGTTTTGCCACCATTTCACACCATTGTCCAGAACAGTTTCTGACTTATTGACTTTGTTAGCATTTCTTTTGCCATTCCCTAGCAGTTTCAAAAAGATAACAGTAGCCACACAGCTGCAAAGGAATGGAGGGATAAGCTGATGGAAGGCGATGTGCCAAAGGTCGAAACATGGCCACATGTAAGGGCACTAAAGTGACCATACCAAAGAAGGGGAAGCTCAGGGCTCTGGCGGCCTGTACACAGAGAACCCTGATGAGCTACAGAACCTCTAGGACTAGGAAGTTATGGAAAATAAGGGATAGTTGAGGAACTGTGGCCACTCACAGAGGGCTAGAGGACAGAGGACCAGAGGACAGATGGCCAGAGGACAGAGGAAAAAGGCTGTCTCCAGGAACTTGGGGGAAATGGGTTTTCTGGAGAGATGTGGACACACAACAGCAGAGGACTGGAACTGTCTTCAGGAATTTGAGTGTCTCCAGAGTTCTCTAGGAGCCATGACCACACACAGGGACTCCAGAAGTGGAGGCATCATGCAAAAACCAGAGAACTCAAGTTCCCTCAGAAGCCAAGACTGAAACCAACAGTTTGTGTCCCAAGATCAGAATGAAAGGAGAAGATCTACCTCGAGGGGTCTGTGAATTCCCAGGGTTGATTTCACTCCTTCTGGGGCTGTCCCAGGCTTGTCCCTGCTATAATCACAATCCCTTCCAGAGGCCCATCTAAACCCCTAGTCTAAGGGTAGCTCCCTATCCTCCAGCTCTTTTCCCCCAGTGGCCCAAGCATATGCCCTGGAGCCCAAGACTCTGATACAGGCCTTATGAGCCTGGCTTCCTCCCTCACCTGTTGCAAGGATCCAGCATTCTGAAGCCCCTCCTACCCTGCCCTTTGGACTTCTACCCCCAAGTGCACCCACTGTGGAAATTAAAGAAAAACCGTTCACAGAACTGGTCCTCAGGAAAAATTAAGGCAACGAAAACTGAGAGACAGGAGGAAACTGGGAGCCAGTCCGAGGGTCCTATGCACACATCAGCAACTGACCCAGAAAGCAACCCCTCAGAATCCAAATGAGGAAGGTTAGAGGCATCCTTAATGCCTGGGTGTCCCCAACTTTCCAAACTCCGCCCCCGCAGTGGAGAAGAAACCGAGACAGAAGGTGTAGGACCCACTACCGCTTCCTCCAGATGAGCTCATGGGTTTCTCCACCAAGGAAGTTTTCCTATGGTTGAATGAGAGCTTCTCCCCGCCCTCCTCTGCCCCAAGAGTATAAAGGCAGCTGTCTGCACACCCAGCCAGCAGAGCTCCCTCAGCGAGGACACCAAGGGACCAGCAGGAGGGAGAGCAACAGCTCCATAACTGCCTGGCAAGACCCATTCAGACACCACACCCTCAGGCAAGCAGCCAGGCAGGAGTCTCTCTATACATACATTGCCCCAGGGCTCCACTTCTTTCAGCTGTACTTGAACACCTCTGCAAAGGACACCATGAGCACTGAAAGCATGATCCGGGACGTGGAGCTGGCCGAGGAGGAGCTCCCCAAGAAAGTAGGGGGGCCCCAGGGCTCCAGATGGTGCCTGTGTCTCAGCTTCTTCTCCTTCCTCCTCGTGGCAGGAGCCACCACCCTCTTCTGCCTGCTGCACTTTGGGGTTATCGGGCCCCAAGGGGAAGAGGTGAGTGTCTTACTAGTCTTCATTCAGAAACTGGGGCAAAAAAAGATAGGGTAGAGGATACAGATGTGTAGAAGGGTTGGGGTAGGGAGGGAGAACATAGAAAAATGGGGAGTCAGAAAGAGATAAAGGGAAAGAAATAGAAAGTATTTGGTACATGGGAGGTGCTCACTAAATATGGGTTATAGCATAGATATTGGAAATAAACAAGGGATGTGAATAAAGCTAATGAGACAGAAAGAGATATGGGACATATAACAGAAATAAGGAGATAGATAAAAAGAAGAAAGATATGGAAAAATGAAGATAAGGGCAGTTGTTGAATAGAAGGATGGATGGGTAAATAAATAGATAAGTGAAAAAAGTAAAGCAGAGGTTGGGGCAGAGACAGCAACTGGATAATTGGTGGCAGCTATTTATCTTTTTGTGGGGACATCTTTCTAATGCAAACCCCTCTTTCTTCTTTTCAGCAGTTCCCAGATAACTTGCATCTAATCAACCCCTTGGCCCAAACACTCAGTAAGTGTCTCCAAAATCTCCCAATTCTGAGGTTGGGTAGAAATAGGAGTCAGTCCTGGGATAGAAGTGATGGGGGGCGGGGAATATTAGATCTTTGGTTCTGAGAGAGGAGGAGAAATGGAGATCAAGATCAAAGGGGTATTTTTCTGGAAACTTCAAGGGTCTCACCTTTTTTCTTTCTTCTTCAGGATCATCTTCTCAAGCTTCAAGTGACAAGCCTGTAGCCCACGTTGTAGGTAAGAGCTCTGTGGATGTTTTGGGTGCTAAGAAGGGAGAGCAAATAGGATGGGGAAGGGTAGGATTGGAGGCTTGAACAGAGCTGAGGATAGACAGACATCTAGAGAGGAGAGCTTGAGGGGACATCACATTAACAGAACAGACCTTAAAGGGGATGTTGAGAACCTCGTGACCAGATGGGATACAGACAGACAGATGGAATAGGAACCGGATGTGGCAGAGTAGGCAGAACTTGAGGGTCAGGATGTGGAGAGTGGAAGTGACCAACAATGTCACACCAACTCTTCTTCCCTCTTTCTCTCCCTCCAGCAAACCATCAAGTGGAGGGGAAGCTCCTGTGGATACACCGTCGTGCTAATGCCCTCTTGGAAAATGGAATGCAGCTGATAGACAATCAGCTGGTGGTGCCCTCCAAAGGGCTCTACCTCATCTACTCTCAAGTCCTCTTCAAAGGCCTAGGCTGCCCCAACACCCACTTGCTCCTCACCCACACCATCAGCCGGTTTGCCATCTCCTACCAGAACAAAGTCAATCTCCTATCTGCCATCAAGAGCCCCTGCCATCAGGAGACCCCAGAGGGGGCTGAGGCCAAGCCCTGGTATGAGCCTATCTATCAGGGAGGAGTCTTCCAGCTGGAAAAGGGTGATCGACTCAGCGCTGAGATCAATCTGCCTGACTATCTTGACCTGGCTGAGACAGGACAGGTCTATTTTGGGGTCATTGCCCTATGAGGGAAAATGGACACGCATTCTTCCCCATCCCTCGTTCACCTTATCCTCTTTATTAATCGTTCCTTCATTCCCCTTAACACCTCAGAGCTTAGAAAGGAAAATAGGGGCCAAGCACTGGGCCTCAAATTAATCACCTCAAACAACAATACTTAAAAGCCTGATATGAAGAGATGTGCGACTTGGCCAATAGGGTGCTGGCCACCACTTAGAATCTGAACTGGGCCTTCCAGAACCCACTGGATCCCTGAATGCGAATGGGGACAGTTAGACTATGGAGGCCAATGAGTCTTTGGCTGTATCTAGAGCCCTTCAGATCCTGAGATGACCTCACCTAGAAGTTGACGTGGCCTCCAACTTCCATCTTTGTAGAAGTTTCCATACTCTCTTCCAGGAGATGCAGAGCCCTGGCCATTCAGCAAGAGTCAGGCCCCTTTATTTATATTTATGCTTGTGATTATTTATTGTTGTTATTATTATTATTATTTGTATTTATTTATTTATTTATTATTTATTTCCTGATAAGTGTATTTATTAGGGAGGTTGAGGGTCTTGGAGGACCCAATGCAGGAGCTGCCTTGTCTCAGACATGTTTTCTGTGAAAACAAAGTTGAGCTGTCCATTGCTTTCACCTGGCCTCCTGACCCCCTGTACCTCCTTTTGCTTTTTGTCTTTTTGGGGGGAAAAAAGTATTGATCTGATCAGCTTGTCTGAATGATGCTGATTTGGTGACAGACTGTCGCTTCATCGCTGAACCTCTGCTCCCCAGGGGAGTTGCCTCTGTAACCGCCCTACTGGTCAGTGGCGAGAAATAAAGTTCACTTGGAAAAGAAACCTGGTCTCTTGGAGTGAATACTGCACTTGGCTCCCTCTCTCTGAAGAATTTCAAAGTCTGACAGAACCAGTCCCAGGCTACGACTCTGAGACTACCTGATGTCCAGAAAACCCTACTGGGAGAAAAAAATCCAAATCAAATAATATCCCTACACCCCCACTCTGGGAAACAGAAGCTTGAACCCAATTACCTTGCCCTCAGGGCACGGGAATTTCCAACTCTGGGAATTCCAATCCTTGCTGGGAAAGTCCTGCGGCTCAGGTAAGATTTCCGGCAGTTGCTGTAGCCTGAGAGAGCTGGGAAGAAGCCACATTCTCAGGCACCTGAATCACAGCCAAGGAACTTCCAGAGATTCAGGTGTCTGGGCTCCAGTTTTCTCGCTCCAGGCCACCCACCCAGTGCTGTCCTAACTGTGCAACCTGATCCAGTCACTTAACCCAATCTACCAAAGAGGATCCCATGGACTGCCAAAAGAGCAAACAAATATGTTTTGGAGAGGGTGCAGTCAAAGCGCTCTTTGAGGGGAGCTCTGGAGGCCTAGTGGCAAGGAGCTGCAACTACAATCCCAGAGGTGCACAGTTCGAATCCACCAGATGCTCTGCCGGGGAAGGAGGAACAATCTCCTCCTGTACCAGTCAGATCTGATTTGACGGTACACTCACACAAAAATAATAAAAATTTTTTAAAAAATTTTTAAAAAAATTTAAAAAGTGCTCTTTGGAGGCAAGAATGATGAGGCTTCACCTCACATACTTCAGTCAGGATGCTAGAAGGGGCTATACCTCAGGGGGGACATGATGCTTGGAAGGGTGGAGGGTCAGTGAAAGAGAGGAAGACCCTTGACCAGGTGAATTGATGAAGTGACTACCACAAAGGGCCCTAGTGTGTCAGGAAGTGTGAGGATGGCACAGGAGAGGACAGAGTTGAGATCTGTTGTTCATAGGGTCACTATGAGTTCTACTCGACTTGTCTGCACCTAACAACATCAAAAATGAGATGGGTGAAAAAAACAAAAATGAGATGATTATGCCCACTGCTTATAAGGACCCCAGAAACAGAAGAAACACAGGTTCTTGGCACAAGGTAGGCACCCAAAGGAAACTGGCTTTCTCCCTTCCAGCTTGAGGCTCAACTCCCCAGCCCCCAGCAGTTTATTCCCTTCCATTCTCTCAATAACCAAAACTGAACCAAAGAAAGAAAATAAAAAGCAAGCAGTAACATGTAGGTGAAGGATTCATGTGCAAGTTTTGACTCACCAATTTTTCAAACAATAATGTGCAGATGATGCCTCTGGAAACTCTATGAAATTTGATAAATGATGATAAGTTATAAAAAGGCTTCAGGCCTTTTGTTCAATTGGGTCGCTATGAGTAGTGCTCACCTCAACAAAAATTAACAGCAAAGGCGATGTGCAGGTGAAGGGCCCAGAAGCTAACCATTTCTTAGGCAAATGCTCAGAGAAGGTGCGTGAGGTGAGGAATCCTAAAGAGAAAATCCCATGCCCAGAGGAGGAATTTTTTGAAGATGGCATCAAAGACAAATATGGTGTCAAGAAATGGAGACTCAATGAGTGGTAATACCCACCAGTCTCAGCAGCAAGTTTACCTTCCTGCCCTGGGTTACAAGAGAGGAAAAAAATCATGTGGTATGCCAACAGGGGTGAGGTGTTCCATAACAGTGACCTAGATAAAGGCTTGGGTGCCCCTTTGCCTCCTCTAGATGTGGACTGAAAGTCGGTCATAGGGAGGTGTTGTTACTCACCCTGGGTCACCAGCACTTGACTAAAGTGTGCAACAAGGGTGAGGATTTTCCATCCCACCCTGAAAGGGACTGGATTTCCCTCCCCAACCCCGGGCTCTCCCTGGGACCCTCAGGCACAACAGTCTCCTTCCCTAGGCCCATATACACCAACTTGTTATCCGTTTCTCAAACATCCCCAGTTTTCTCCAGTAACCCCCTCCCTCCATGTCTCTGAAGTACACATTACTCTTTGGAAAAGTGCTGACTATGGGGGCAACTGCTGACCTGGGGGCAATTGCTGACGTGGCTTTCATGCAGCAAGCAGGGGAGGAGTGCTGCGCCCCTCGGAGCATCATCCCTCTTCCTTGGCAGCATTAAGAACTGACTCTCCATTGGGCCTTTCTGAGTCATCCCTATCATCTCTCCCTGCCATGAGCCCTCTCACTGTTGGGAGGGACCCAAGAAAAAGAGTAAGTAGAGTGACTCTGGATATCATGTTTGAAGGTGCTTTGGAGTTCCTTTAAAGACTAAGGTGGAGGTGGTGGTGGTGGTGGTGGTGATGGTGGTAGTGGTGGTGTGGTGGTGGTGTACCAATAGCTGACCCTCCAGCGGGTTTTCTGAGGCAGTTAATCACACTGAGAGGAGATTGCCCATCCCTCTCGTGTGGAGCAGCTGGTGGACTCGAACCACCAGCCTTGGGGATTGCAGTGCAGCTTCTTGTTGCTAGGCCACCATTGCATAGCTTTAGAATTCAGGAAATGCTCTTCCTCCTCTCTCAACAGGGCTAATAATGCCACAGGCCATTCAGAGACAGGATCTGAGAGGGGTTAGGGCCCCCCAGTCTGTGATCCCAGGGAATAAAGGCCATAAGCAGTACCATGAATGGTTTCAAGCGATATCCCACCCCCACCTATCCCCTACCAAATAAAGAATAATTTAACCAGCACTTATGTGCCCACCGTAGTTGAAGACAAGTCAGCACTTCAGCATCTGTATTGGCAGCACTAATACTTTACATTCTTTATTTTCATCACTTTCAAAATCCATTTCCAGACAGTCCCCTACCTTTCCCTCCCTGCCATGGGGCCCCGAGCGTCTGGGTCCCCAATTTCTGGGCCAAGCCACATCGTAGGACAACGCATTCGTGTTTCTTGAGACACAGGCATCCCTCACCCCACCATCACAGCCCCAAAGAAGGTCTTCCCTCTCCTGTAATCCACCATATCGGGGTGACTGATGTTGACATACACCCTCTCGCCCCTCCGGAGCTGCACCAGACCGCCGAACCCTACGCTGGTAAACCAGAGGGGCCCGTACTCCTGCCTCCTGGTTGAGTCCAAAACCGAGGTCACGGTCTCGGCGCCCTCGAGCAGCAGCTGGGGGAGCCCCGGGCCATAGGCGCCCCCTGCCCGATACAGCGAGCTGCGCAGGGTGACCGAGTGGCCGAGCAGGGCTCGGCCAGCAGGGGGCGCGCGGCCCCGGTAGCCGATGGAGCAGTAAAGATAGTAGAGGCCGTCCTGGGGGAGCGCCAGGCCCTCGGCCCCGGAGAACTGCGTCCCGCTCCTCAGAAACGCCTCTTCTTTCTTCGTCTCCCAGCCTAGGCCTTGTCCGATCTTCCAAGAACCTGCGGAGAAAAGGACTCGTGGGCTCTCAGGGAATCCGATCCTAGAGGGACGATCCAGGCCCGGGATTCCGGAGAGAACGGGCATGGGAGTAGCTGGGCTTATGGGCGCGCTGCAGGAATCCAACCTGGGGGCAAGGTGTTGGGTGCCACCTCTGGAATGACTATGCTTTGGGGGTTAAGGGAACTGCATGTTGGGGTGCGGGGCGCTGTGGTGCTGAGAGCCAAGCCGGAGTTTGATTGCTACCGGAAAGGAGCCTGAAAGCTGGGATAGGGAAACCTCTGGAAGGGTAGACACTTTAGGAGCGGGAAGTAGTAGGGTGGCTTGGAAATCCACACCCGAATTATAGGATAAAGGAGCTCTAACCGTGGGTGAGCCGATCTTGTAGGCTTGGGACAGTGTGCTGAGCCCCCTGTATCCTTGTTTGATTCCCACCCCCCCCCCCAAAGCTATGTAAACCTTTATCCAAGACCTTACCTATGAGGTGGGCAGCAGGGAGCCTTGAGCTGAGATCTGCTTCCTCTTCCTCTTCTTCTTCCTTTTCCTCTTCGGGCAGCTCCACGGACTCTAAAAGGGGTGAAGAGGTCATAATTGGAAGGTTGGGGGGCCACCTATGCATGGTCCTGCTGGTACAATAGAACTCTAGGACTCAGGGATGGAGCCCCTAAACACCTGGAGGAAGAGGGTGTGGGACCAGACCAGATCTGGGGGGTCTCTAAAGGCCAGGAGGGGAAAGAGGAAGATGATCTGCTCTTACCCAGTTGTTGTTGCTGGGTCTGTCTCCTCAGGTCGGCAATCTCTGTTACCTGACGGGGTGGGGTCACAGTGCCCACAGTTCAGGCCCAGCTAATGCCAACCTCATCCCTCCCAAAGTTGACCAAAGCCCCAAAACTGGCCTTCTCCACCAGCCCCACCTCCCAGCATACATCTTCCTGGGAGGAGAGCCAGCAAAGTTGCCCTTGAGCTTGAGCTGTGTCATAGGAAAGAAGAGGGAAGACAGACAGACAACCAGGAAGGAGCCTGGAGACATGAGGACACTACAGCATCATGGAAGCTTGGAAATAAGACCAGTAGAAACTGACAGTTTTTAGCACCAGGAACAGTAGAGAGACCGCAGAGCAGGATGAAGCAGGAGCCGCACAGGCAAAATGAGAGGTGAGTGGGCATGTTAACATACAGCCCTCCTGTTGCAGCCACTCACCAGTGCTCCCCGCTCCTGGGGCATCAACGCCAGCACAGTCAGGACAGTGATGGGCACCGATAGCACCACAGACCCCAATACAATGGCTCCAGCCACAGCCAGCAAGAGGCAGCCCCTCCCCTGGGGTCTCTCACCCCGGCCCTCCAGCCCCAGTGCCTCCATGGAGACTCTGAGCCAGTGCCAGGGCAAGGGGGGCTTTCATACCCCAGGGGTGGGACTACCCCCTCCCCATAGACCCATACACCTGGCCGGGACTTTCCACACACCCCTACTCCCCTTACCCAGCTTCCTGTTTACCCAGAGCTAGGGCGGGGCATCTGGATGCCTGGGTTCTCTGAATTGGGGAAGAAGTTGGGGTGGAGGGACAGGCTATCAGGCTTTGGCTGGAGAGGGGCTTTGAGATTTTTTTACAGAGAGGAAAGCCAAGGCCCAGGGTAAGAAAGTAGCTTGTAGAAGGCTAAATAGCTAGACTGCAATAAACACACACAAGACTCACAACTTACAGTGTACCCTGAATTCTTCTTCATTTCCTCGTTGAGGAGGGTGTTAGAAGGTGGGCTACCTCCACGTCCCTGAGGCCAGGGGCTGGAATAGGAGGACAAGAACTGGAATCTGGTGGGATAGATGTCAAGATCTCCCAGAACATTGGCCTCTCCCTCCCATTACCTTGCTTACCCCTGGCTCCTCTTGGAGATGAGAAAGGCAGAGTTAAGCAATGCCCAGTGATGGCCACTGAAGGGCATCTTTGCATCACCCGTGACTACTGGTTGACAATAGAGGGATGGAAAAGGAACCCCTTCTCTCCTGTATGCAGAGTGCAGCAGAAGACAGAGGAGGCACAGGCCCAACCTCAAAGAGCTTTTGAAGTCTAGGATACCCCTGATCCATTTGTAGCCCCAAAATCAAATATGATACCATCAAGTCTATTCCAATTCAGAGTGACCCTAAAAGACAGAGTAGACCTGCCCCAGGGTTTCTGAGTCTGTAAATTGAACCTGCTACACCACCAGGACTCCATTTAAATGGTTAGGGAGTCCTGGTGGCTTAATTTGGTATGTGTTGAACAGCTCATTGAAAGGCCAGTGTTATAAATACTCTGGAGAAAGATGGACAATCTCCTATAAAGACTTACAACTTCAGAAACCAATAGAGGGTCCCCATGAGCTGGAATTGATAAGATGGCAGTGAATTTGGGGTTAGTCTATTAAAAACTTTTAAGAATGAGTGGATGAGCAAAGCAGAGCAACAGGCAACAAGTGAATGGGCAGTGTCATATAGAGAAGAGTTGAAGGCGGGGTAGGAATGAGCTCAGAAGAGTTGGGAACAATCCCAGATCATCTTCCCTTAATGACATCTCTACATTCAAGATAATAATATACAAATAGCATTTAACATGTGTCTGCCAGTGATCTGCACACTTTCTTTCTAGTAGTCCTTTAATCTTGTCAGGAAACTGAGGAACAGATAGGCTGAATAACTTGTGGAAAGTCATGCAGTTAGTGGCAGAGCCAAGACTTGAATCTAAACTGATTGGCTCTGACCTTCACCACAAGGTAGTTTAAAAAATGATCTTCACTACAGATTTGTGCACTCCTCTCTATGTAAATGTTACCTTCCTCTGCCCCTGAAAAAAAGGGGAAACAGATGCTGTAACTGTCAGTGATAAGCATGCTGGAAGGTTTAGAGATTAAATGTTCTGTGGGGAACTTTGCAAGACATCCAAAAATGAAATGAGTTGATAGATGGATACGAGAGAAAACAAATAGAGCAAAATGTGAACTGTAGACTCTAGATAATAGAAATACACTCACTGTATCATTTTTGTTCAATCTTTATCTTTTAATTTTTAAAATAATAAATATTTATATTATTTGTTAATAAATAAAAATGAAACAATCAAATGAGTATTGTTCTCTTGTCCTGTAAAGTCACGTTGAGAGTGGGAAAGTAGCAGAAAGTTCTTGAATCTGGAGAAGAAAATGCAAATGCAAATGGATCCAGACATCAGGTGTCCTACTCCTTTCTCCTCAAGGATTGGGTACGTAACCCCACCATAGCTATGGCCTCAAACTGACCCTTCACCAGGTCTCTTACCAGGGGGTCTGGGACCACTGCCCTTACTTGATTCTGTGCACAGCATCAGAATGCTGCCTCCTGTAAGAAATCTACCTGATTGCCCCTAATTTCTTTCCTGAGCACCAACATCTTCATCAGCTTTCTGTGGAGGATCTGTCACCTGTATCACGCACAGTTAGTTTGACTGCCTCTAATGATACGGTACCTAGAGCAACGTGGGTAGGTGTGTTGGAGTGCGTGAGACTGGCTCAGGACAGAGCAGGCTTCAGAGCTGCTGTACCTAGAGTCGCAGGCAACTTAATGGCACATAACAACAACAACAGTGGTCCTATTAGTTAATCAGCTAACCAAGCACCCTGCTGCATACAACTCTGTAACACCAGACAAGCCGTTCCAAGTCTGCAAGAGCTCATGGTTTCATGTGGGAAATGAAATGTGTGTGCCTACGCAGATTCGCCAAGATAATGAACTCTTCTTGGTCTATGTGAAGGGTTGAGGAACAAACTCTCAAATGATCATGGAATCTAGATTTCTGGAGCCACTGAGGTTAAAATAGGTTAATGAGGTTAAAACCATTACCCAGATGTTATCTTAATACCTGAAAACCAAGTTGTTCCCTGAAAGTCATCTTTAACCCAAACAATAAAACACAAAACAAAACATCCGCTACCATCAAGCCAATTCTGACTGAGCGACACTGTAAAACAGAATTGTGATGTAAGAGTTTCTAAGGCTGAATATTAATCTTCATTGACACAAACTCCCACTTCTTTCTATGGTAGAGTAGCTGGTGGGTTCAAACCACTGACCTGTTAGAAGCCAAGTGCTTAAACACTGTGCCACCAAGACTTCCAGCATAAATGGAAAAATAAACTAGACCCGTTGCCATGATATACCTCATGATATCCTTTTCCTGGGTTTCTGAGGCCGTAGATTTCAAGAGAATGACGCAGTCTTTTCTTGAGTCTAGAACTGCTGACCTTCCCCTTAGCATCCTAACACTTAACCTCTAACTTACTGACACAGAGTTAAACAGGCAGCTGCTCATGGGAGGGCAGTTTGAACCACTGGTTTCATGGGAGAAAGATGTGGCAGTCAACTTTCATAAAGATCAGAGTCTAGGAAATCCTAGGGCAGTTCAATCCTATTCTATTATTGTGGTTTCTGTGTACCTTCACGTTGGAACTGACCCATGGCTGACCCTCCATCAGGTTTTCAGAGGCAGTAAATCACACAGAAGGAGACTGCCTATCCTTCTCCCACAGAACAGCTAGTGGATTTGAACCGTGTGCCTTCGGGATTACAGAGCAGGTTGTTGTTGTTGTGTACCATCAAGTTGGAACCGACCCATAGCTGACCCTCGGGTGGGTTTTCAGAGGTAGTTAACTGCAAGGGAGGAGATTACCCATCCTTCTCCTGTGGAGCAGATGGTGGCCTCGAACCTCATGCCTTCGGGATTGCAGCGCAGCTTCTTGCCACTAGGCCACATGGTTTGAACAGAGCAGTTTAGGGTCACTCAGTTGGATTTCATTTGACGTTCACAATTGCTTAAGCAGTGTACCAAAAGGATCCTAGTTAAACAAAAGTCCTGTATACTTTATGCAGAATGTTTACCCTGAGCATTGTATTCATCAATGTAACAACAGCGATTCCAAAGTTCAGATTAGAAGCAATGTGGGGGGGGGGTGTTTTGGTGTTATTTTTTTAAATTTTATTTTATTATTTTTTGTGTGTACCATCAAATCATATTTGACTGGTACAGGAGGAGATTGCCCCCACCTTCTCCAGCAAAGCAATGTGTGTTTTAAGGTCAGTTAGGAATCATTTGAATTGTCCTTTAAGAAACTGTTGTCTGGAATCCTGAATGTCGATAAATTTTATAAACTATTCTGGTCCCCGTTTCCTTACCAATGTAGAATACTAGCAACAAACTAGGATATAAAAACCTGTAAGGATCTCTCTTCTCTAGAACACTTTTGAGATCTGTAGTTAAAGTTGTTCCCCCAATTTATAAATTGTGCATTAAACAAATGTAAATGTATTCCTATTATTGGCTTAATAATGATTTTACTTTGACAGGGCAGTTGGGAAAAGTTAATCAAAGACTTCCTGGAGATGTACCGGCAGCAGCTAGTGGAATCATAGGATGGTTGGGATAGAGGGACGAGATTGAACTAGTTACAGTCGTCCTAGAAGCCTATTAGGAAAGATGTTGCAATCCTAACCCTCAAAATCTAAACTTCCTCTCCTGGCAATGCTGATGAGGCCCTCACGTCGGGGAAGAAGTTAGAACTAGAGGAGGAGCAAGGATGTCTGGTGGCTACACTTCTCTCCACCCAGGAAGCTCAGGTCAGTCTGGAGTCTGTCCACCCTGCCGGCCACAGGCTCTGGGTAAGCTGGAGAACACAGGGCCCCTGGTGATGGTATCAGAGGTGAGACTGGGAGGGAGGACCCTCACAACCTGGAGTGAGGTGAGACTAAGATGGAAGAGGGAGAGAACGGGTTTGAGGGTCTTTGAGGCCCTACAGGAAGGAATCCTTTCTAGCCTCTGAGTCACTGCTTCTGTCCCCTGTCCCCACTGCTCCTCTCATGATGGACATTTTAAGTTTTCACTGCCAACTGTGCTTTTGAAACACACACACACACACACACACACACACACACACACACACACACCCCACACACCCCTTTTCCATAATTTCTCTTGAACCTTGGAGGGTCTCGTTTTCTAGACTCTGGTCAGTGCAGCTGGCTTTGGGTGAGGTCCACAACCTGCTCTTTGCCCTCAAACAGGAACCAGTGGTTGGAGGACAGAAAGTGTGTGAGGGGAAGTTACGGGGCCCAGACATTCCTCGTTGCCCCACTTCAGCCCCGTCTTAACCTGTCTGTGAAGAGCAGTTCCCACACCAAGCCTAGTAGGGACACCAATGAGATAGATGTCCTGGGACTGAGGGACCTCTCCCAGCTGTAGGGTACCGCCATCCCTATGTTTCTGCCAGTTCTCACACTCATTCCAGACCCTGACAGCTCTGCCTCTGTGAGCCCCCTCACCCTATCCTAGAACAATAAATCTAAGATTAGAGAGACTCCCATGAACTATCTGGACAGTGTAAAGTGGAGGGAAGTGAATGGATGCTGGAGCTGACCGAGCTGACCTTGAACCTCACTTTCGATCTAGGAGATGTAAAAGCTGGTGGCTCCAGCCCCAGGTTCCTTGCCTAGGAAATGGGCACTGGAACCCCCTGCCATGTTGTAGGACTTAGTAGTGAAAATGCCCAGATCAGGGCTAGCACATCGCGGGGAGGCTCCTCAGCCTGGGGAAGAACTCTAACGGAGGGCCCCTCACTTCACAGATGGGAACTTGAGGCACGTGACTGACTCAACCATTAGCCAGGAATAGCAGGGGCTGTTTCCTGACCTCGAGAACAGTCCGCAGTCCACAGTCTCGTGAAATCCAGTGATGTCATGGCTCTTTGTCACAAAGGTAAGGAGTTTCACTCCTCTAGACAGGGAGTTTTGTGGGTCAGTGATCAATGAGTGAAAAGTGGTGGTGAGGGCATCTTAGGACCAGCTGGAAGAGGGGCATAGATACCACACAGTGCGACTCAGAGGCTCCAGGGACTTCAGTGGATGCCTCTGAGGGAGCCCAGTTTCAGATATGAGGTGGTAACTAATAAGGGGTGGGGCTTCTGGCAAGAGATGAGATATCCGTGTTCTGGGCACACACACTCATACTGTTGGAGAGGGGATTAGGATATCCATGACCACCAAAAGCTGTGTAAGTTGGAGAGAGAAAGGAGCCACTAACACTTGTTTCTCTCATAGAGGAGCAGACATGCTATTACATATACGGGGGACTGGCACTGGGGGGGCTCCTGCTCCTCGCTGTGGTCATTCTGTCCACCTGTCTGTGTTGGCTCCATCGGAGAGGTGAGTCACACTTTCACCTCCCCATTCACCTCACAACACTGTTCCCTTACATGCCCTTTCACGCCGCTTTTTCAGAAATCTCCAGTGATCCCGACAGGCCCTGGGTGAGGAGGAGGATGGGAGCTGGGTGGAGAGTAAAGGAACAGTGTCCAGGCAACCAAGGGCTTCCTTTGGAGCCACTGGGAAGCAAGGGAGGACACAGCAGCCTCACCAGGGCCTCATTTTATGGTGGGAGGGGACCAGGCTCTGGGGCTCTTCCCTCCCCTCACTCCAGGGGAATGTGGGGAAATGCATATGAGGCCATCCTGAACTTCTTCTTTTTCTTGCAGTAAAGAGGCTGGAGAGGAGCAGGGTGAGTTTGGGGGCAGAAAAGGAGGACAAGAGAGGGCCCCAGTGGGTGATGGGAGAACAAGACTGAAGGTGAGGAAAGGGGTGGAGGCCAAGAGAAGGAGAGAGGACTTGGAAGAGGCAGAAAGAAAGAAGTAAGAGAATGTGAAGAAAGGAAAAAAATGGTGTGGCACTAAGAAGAGACAATAAGAAAGGAGAGTAAAGAGTGAGAGAAGAAAGAAATAAGAAGGGGGAAGAATGAGAGAATGAAATTCAAAGAGACGAGAGCTTAAGCTGGTGGGCTAGGGTCAGGGGGTAGAAGAGCGGAGGGGAAAGAAAAGAGGGTTTCAAAGAGAGGAGAGGAGAGGAGACAGAAAAGGAAGCAAAGCGCTAACAGAAGCAGGAAGTGGGGGCAGAACCCTGCAAAGAAGGAAGGGAGGCCCCTCCTTGTGCCTACAGCCGTTTCCCTCTGTGTGCCAGGCCCGGCGCCCCTCACACCAGGAGCTCCACTATGCATCTCTGCAGAAGCTGCCTGAGACAGCCAGTGCTGACAGGCCTGACCTCGCTGAGGGAGATGGGGGAGACGCCAAGGACGACTCCACGGCTGACTATGCCTGCATTGCCAAGAAAAAACCTACCTAAACCTGCCCACATCCCTCCCTCAACCTTGGAAGGTGGGCAAGGTCACCCTGTGGTTGATTCACCCAGTAAAGTCTGTGGTCTCCTCACTTGCTATGTGTTGGGTTTCTCTGTTCCTCTCAAGCCCCTCCACTCAAAAGTCACCATAGTCCAATCATAAGTGGCTTCCCATCACCACCACCCACAACTCCCACTCTGAGATCAAGTGAGGATTTAGTGGATCAAGAAGGGTGCTTCAGAAATAAAGATCTTCCCGAGGCCTGGCCCTGGGGGAGATTGTTGACCAGTAGGAATGACAGGTGTCATTGTCCCACAGGTGAGAATCTGTCTCATCTCCCTGGTCCAAGGAGAGGTGGGTGGGAAGGGGCTGTGAGTAAAAGCATCTTCCTTAGTCTAAGCAGATTCCTTAGCGTCTTTATATGCAGGCCTGGTGGAGGGGGGAAAAGGGAGAGGAAAATACATGAGACTGACAAGGTAGAGTTAGTGGCAGGACAGACAGAGCTTTACTGGACTCTGCTGAAGACAGCTGGGATCGTGGATCTGGAATCACTCTTCAGAAGCCATCCAAAGGGGACAAGGTGTTCCCACGGGACAGGAGTAGCAGTCTGTTCCCACAAGACAAGCATGGCAGGGTTTCCATGCTGTGGCCTAATGGGAGAGAACATACAAGCAGTCAGCACCACCGTGGTCCCTCGTTTTCTTGGCCTCTGTCTTTCCCCACCTCAGCCCTCTTAAAGTCCCATCCTCTCTGCCTTTGTCCCTGGCACCATTACTTACATTTGCCCTGGTAATAGATGGTGCTCCCTATGGCCACAGAGAGAAAGCTGAAGGCATAGAACGCAGCCCGGAGGAGGAGAAGGATGGTGCTGGCCTTTTGCTGAGAGGATCCTAAATGTAGGTAGGATGGGGGAAAGGAAGGGGCTTGGAAAAGGGAGCACTGATGGCTGGAGGTAGCCATGCACAAGCTCAGGGAGGGGCAGGGGGCCTCTGGAAGAATCGCCACTTTCAAGGACATTGCTAAGCAGGGCCTCTGACCACAAGAGGAAGTCACCTCCCAGCACCTCACCTTTCTCTACCACCAGCCGAGTGCCATTCCCTGTGCCAGTGCCCAGGCCCAATACCTCCACCCTGCACAGGTAGACTCCAGTGTCATGGACTTGTGTGTCCCGAATGTGCAGCTCAGCCTGGTGGTTGTGGAGGAAGTGTGTAGGGTTCAGGGGGGCCAGACGGCCCTGGAACTCAGGGGTTCCATTCCTCACTTCCTTCCCTGGGGCCACCTTGTCCCGGTACCACATGACTGAGCCAATGGCCAGGCTCCCTCTGCTGGCATTGAAGGAGCAGGGCAGGGAGATGGAGGTTCCCTCCTGGGTCTGAATCTCAGGGGGCTGGGTCACCCAGAGAGCACAAGATCCTGGGGAGAACAGAGAAGACCCACAGAGTATCTCAGTGACACCAAAGTGAAAAGATGAGAAAGCTTCAAGTCAAATATCCAGTTGTTTCACCACCACAGGCACATGGGGACAAACACTTCAGGCAAGAAGCTTATCTCATTCAGCCCTTCATGTTTTACAAATCCAAGTTGTTAACTTAGCTTGTTAAACAGCGTTTCAAATTCTTCACATCAATAAGCCCTGGTGGTGTAATGCGTAATGTTAACAGATTGCTAGCAAAAAACGCAACAATTACGAACCCCTCAGCTGCTCCACAGGAAAAGAGATGGACAATTTCATCTTCAGAAACCTGATGGAGGGTTGCTGTGAGTCAGAAGCTACTTAAGAACAGTGAGTGTGGTGAGCTCTGGTGGCCTAGTGGCAAGAAGCTGCACTGCAGTCCCAGAGATGAGAAGTTCTAATCCACTAATCCAGTTCTGCTGGAGAAGGAGAGACAATCTCCTCCTGTACCATTCAGATCTGATTTGTTGGCACACACAAAATAATAATTTAATAATAATAGAATGATGAGTGCGTTTTTCTATCCCAAGTGTCATTCTCAGACTTCTTCATCATTCTCAGCTATAAGTCACAGGGTTAGATCGAACCTTATTAATGATGAATAGCTGCTCTGTTAACTAATATCACAAAAAATTTACATTGAAAAACCAAGTATTGGTTTAGCACCCATGGCATTTCAGTTTAATATTAAATATCTCCTAGGCTGCCAAGAGAGCAAACAAATCCGTGTGAGAAGAAGTGAGACAAGAATGCTCCTCAGAACTGAGGATGGTGAAACACCTTCTCACGTAACTTTGGGCATCTTATTAGGATGGGGCGAAAGAGGGGAAGGCCCTTAACACAGTGACTGAGGCTCTTTGGACGGACTCAAGTATGGGGGAGATGGTGAGGATGGCACAGGACAGGACAGGGTTAAATCTGTTGTTCATAGGGTTGCTATGAAGCGTACTTGACTCGATGGCACCCAGAAACTACAATAGTCCCTGGAGAAAGACATGATGCTTGATGGAGGAGAGAGTCATAGACAAAGACGATGTTAGGGAGATGGATTGACACAGTACTACTGCAGCAATAGGCAAGGCACAGCAGAGATTCTGAGGGCAGGGCGCGGCTGGCTGGGGGTCATGCTTTTGTTCACAGAATCACTGAATCAGAGCAGACTCAGCAATACCCTACATAGGCACTAGCAGCTGACACACGAGCAGTGACACTTTTCACTACAGTCCTTTGGTTTCTGTTAAAGAACATTAGCTCATTAAACCTTCCAGGTGAAGGCATGGCTGTAATTGCTGTTGAGTTGATTCTGACTCATAACCACCCCTATCAAGTTTCTGAGGCTGCAAATCTTTACAGGAGGGTAAATCTTTATCCTTCTTTCTTATGTGGCACAGCTGATGAATTTGAACTAGTTACTGATCTTTTCTAAGGGAGCCTAGTGGTGAGGAGCCCTGGGGGCCTAATGGTAAGAAACGGTGCTGCAATCCCAAAGGCAGGTGGTGCAAATCCTCCAGCAGCTCTGCAGGGAAAGGATGGACAATCTCTTTCTGTGCAATTTGCTATCTCTAAAAAGCCACCGGAGGGGTTAGCTATGGGTCCGTTCTGACTCGATGGGACACAATCAGAGTGGTAAGAAGTTGCGCTGCCAACCTAAAGGCTCTTGGTTTGAATCTGCCAGCTGCTCCACTGGAGAAAGGTGGGCGATCTAATCTGTGCAATTTACAGCCTCTGAAAACCCACAGGAGGGTTAGCTCTGAGAGGGATCCAACTTGATGCATGGAAAACCAACAACTAACCTTTGGGGGTTTGTACAATACATAACCCCCTGTGCTACCGGAACTCATTCTAACTGGTTGAGAGCCCTAGTTAACTCATTGATATCAATGAATGAATTCAACTAATGACAAATTATTCCTTGCATTCCTTAGTGAAATTCACTAATAATCCCTTTATATTTCAGTGATTCTCTGAGTATGTGTCAGAATCACCTCAAAGGTTTGTTAACACAGACCCTCTAGGGTTAACTTACAGCAAGGAGTCCTGGTGACACAGTGGAAAAAGTGTGCAGCTACCAGCCCAAAGGTCGGCAGGTCAAACCCTCCAGTCCTTCCACATAAGGAGATGTTTCCATAAAGGGTACAGCCAAGAAAATCCTGAGGAGCTTCTGCTCTATCCATGTGGTTGCTGTGGATCAGCATTCTCTTAATGGAACAGGTTTTGGGGTTTGGCAGTCTGGAGCAGGGCACCCAGCCAATGCTAAAGCTGCTGATTTGGAGTCACTCTTTGAGAAGCCATGAACCTAATTTTTTATAGATAAAGTCTATCAATGAAAATCTGTTCCATCAAGAAATTTCTTAGATTTACTTAGATCTCTCAAACTCTTAACTATATATCTAGGCTCTCAATGATGAACCTAATTTAATCAGTCTTTTAAACGCATCATATTAAACCTGTTGTTGTTTCGTGTTGAGTCGAACCGACCTATCACTGACCCTCTAACAGGTTTTCCGAGGCATTTAATCACATGGGAGGAGATTGGCCGTCCTTCTCCTGCAATATGAAAACTAGTTTCTAAAGAAAAGCCCCCACAAAAAACAACCAACTCAAAGCTGGCCTCTTCCTTTAAGTCTTTTTACTGCTCCTTGTAATCTTTTTAGGAAGGACGCTAAGAAGAAAAGGGATCTGAGATGAAACTGCACAGGACTCTCACAGCCAGGTGACAGAAAAATTCAGTAAGGGTCAGAGAGGGAGCCATTAACTGGGGGACTCCCCTGGCTGTCGGCTTTACAGAGGACCCCACAAGCTCCTTCTTCCCTCTCCTACCCAGTGCCCTCAGGACTCTGTATTCAGTGCTCCTCTCAGTCTGCTCTCTTGTACATCCTTGCACATGGCCTCCCCTCAACCCCATTTGCAGCCCCATGTCCCTCCAAGCCCTGTCACCTGAATGGACCATGATAAAGATGAGCAACAGCCTCCAGGCCATGTCGTAGGGCAGGCAGGTTGGCAAGGGCCACCTAAACAGTGAGGTCTGGGTGAAGGAGGATCCACCCACTACCCGGGGCCAGGTCTTTGGTCATCAGTGGGGGTGGGGAGCTTCCTATGACACACAAGACCCACATCACTTGCCAAGAAACTTACTGCGTGGCACCCTGACCATCAAGCACATGTCTGCTTGGGATGAGAGGATGCTGCTGCTAAGGATATCTGGGTCTCTAGGAGGCATGAGCATCTGGTGGGCAGTATGAAGGGCAGTGTGAGGCTCAGATGGCTGGTAAGGAAATGGCAGGGAGGTTGATAAGCAAGAGTGGGTGGTTTGGTGAGCCCAGGATGTGGTTCTCCTCTTCGTCTGAGGGCCATGAAAGCCAGCACCTTACCCAGAACAAGCCTCCAGGAGGCTGTATGGACCCATAAATATTCTCCTTCCTGCTGCCCAATAGTGTCATATTGAACCCATCCTTGTCCTTTGAGTCTGGCCCTCCTGCCAGGGCTGCTCTAGAATTTAGAAATAGGAGAAGAGTAGAAGTGAGCTCATGGGCTTGATGGGGCAGCAGCTAGGGCCTTTGACTTATTGTTTTTGTGTGCCATCAAGTCAAAACAGATAGTCGACCCTCTGGAGGGTTTTGAGAGGCAGTAACTCACACAAGAGGCAATTGCCCATCCTTCTCCTCTGGAACTGCAGGTGGGTTGGAACCACATGCCTTTTGGATGGCAGCGCAGCTTTTTACCACTAGGCCACCAGAGCTCCCTAGGGCATTTTTTACTAGTAACTTTATTTACAAAGATTATGTTGATTTGGATGGTTTAACTGGATAAATGCTAGCTGATGGAGAAGTTTAAATGGATTCATATTCACATCTCCAGTAAAGGAACATAACCAACAGAAGATATCTGCTTTATCCAGCGCTTTCCAGAAGGACTTATCACCCACCTGGAAATCCACTCATTTATTATTATAGTCACAATTTAGCATTTTTTAAGAACCTGAAAAGTATCCATTACATAAAATGTGTGAAAAATTCTATAGACACAGAGGAAAGACATATTGAGCTACAGGTAAACTAAAGGTTGTATAAAGACTAGTATAAAAGTGTGTCACATTTTTATACATCTACTTGCTATAATTGATACGTGTTGATAGTTATAGAAAGGCTTCAGGCCTTTTGTTCATAGGGTCACTATGAGTCATGCTCAACTCAAAGGCAATCAACAAGAACCACTTGCTATAATAAAGCACATAGGAAAAAATAAGTAGATGTAATATGTCAAATGAAATATATACCCAGCGCTTCCAATACACTTCCCTTTTGACTGCTGTCATATTGATAAATACTTTTTGTTCTTTCCATCTGTGCTTCTAATGGCCCAGTCCCCACCCTTCAGGGAGCAATTTCAGTTTGGCAAGGCAGTAGATTAACAATTGCTAACTTCCCACTAATTAGTTGTATACTATTATTTACTTAGTTTCATAATCGTTAACAAATTAGTTAACCTTTCTGAGACACCTGACAGGAACATCGGTGGTGTAATTCTTAAAGGCTTAGCTGCTAAAGAAAAAGTTCAAAGTTCCAGCCCATTAACTATCATGTGGGAGAAAAAGATCTCAGGTTTGTTTCCTTAAAAATTCCAACCTGGTATGCACACCCATGTTTCTTGTGGCTTTGTTCACAACAGCAAAGAGCTGGAAACAACCCAAGTGCCCATCAAAAAAACAAATGGATAGGGAAGCTCTGGTATATTCACGCAATGAATACTATGCAGCATTGAAAAACAAGGAACTCATGAAATATGCAAAATATGTGACCATGGAGGACATTATGTTGAGTGAAATATCTCAGTCACAAAAGGACAAATATTACATAGTACTACTGTTGTAAAACAGGACTGACATCAGTGTTGAGGGAAGACAGAGGGGAGGAATGAGGTATACTCTATTGAAACAGAGGAGGGAGAGAACTGCTTAAAGGGATATATGATTGAGTATTATTGTCATGACAGGAGTCCAGAATGAAGGCTGCACAGTGGAATGGACTTGGGGGGAGGGTTTGCATAACAATGAAAGAGTTTTTCTTTTACTTTTTAAGGAGAAGAATGAATTAGGGAGGGGGCAGGGAGAAAAGTGCAACAATGAATGACTGGAAACTCTAAGTCTCTGTAAACTTTCATTAAAATTAATAATAATAATTAAAAAAAAATACTCCAACCTAGGACACCATGGCAGGCAGTTCTACTCTGCCCTATAGGGTCACTCTAAGAAAGAATCGATTTTATGGCACAGAATCTAGCAACAACAGACCACTTGGAAAACCACAACAGGCCCTATAATCTGGCAACAACTCATTTTGCCTTTTCTTCATCAGTCAGCACAATGGCTGCCTCGTTAAGGACATTGAATTTGAGGGTGTGGGACCAAGGTGCCACGGCAAAGTAAAGACTGCCCCCTGGTGGTCAGATGCCTTAGACACCAATTATGTGTCTTTTCTCCGTTGGGCCTTAACTCAATCTTCCATTCAGTGACTGGGATAATCGGGATGGGAGTGTCAGAGACAGTGTGATTGGCACAGGACAGAGCAGAGTTTAGGGCTGTTGTACATAGGGTCGCTATGAGTCGCAAGCGACCCGACGGCACACAACAACAACATCTGTTTTCCTATGTCTTCTGTTAACGCCTCATCTCTACCCCAAAGAGGGAATATAAAGAAAATTGTCCTTGCTACTTCAACTGTGAGATTTGAAAAGAGAGAAGAAGCTACCGCCACTCAATAGGCAATGGATCTGAGGATAAAACCTCACATTTTAGACAGTGCACACTTGTGTCCTTGGTCAGCCCAGAGTATCGCAGGACAGGGCCATCCAGCAGTCCGGCCCTGCGAACCCGCTGCATGCCGACCTACTCTTCAGTCTGGGTCCTCTCCATTGAATGCTGTGACTAGCCTTCCAACTACACCTTCCCCACGAGGGGAGAACTGATGACCACCCCAGTCTTGCAGGCCACTGAAGCCCTATCCCCACAAGCTGAAGCCAGCACAGTACTCATTGCAGTTGTTATCGTGGTCTTCCTCACACTGTTCTCAGTCGTGGTCTCGATCATCTCTTACCTGTACAAGAACAAAGGCAGCTATGTCACCTAGGAATCTGCAGGAAGTGAGCCCAACACCATCCTCCAGATGGAAAGTGACTCAGCCAAGGGCTGGGGGAGCAGGGAAGGAGGAATATTTCATCTAATGATTTCTGGGCCCTTGGGAACTTATTCCAGGTATACATGCACTATTTAAATTATTAGATGAAAGTTTCACCCAAAGCCAGCAAGCAACATTAATTGGTATGTGCAATTCTGAGTTCCTTCCAGGATATGGGCCCATTGCTGCCACCAGGGACATGGAGAAAGCAATTATGTCTTTAGCCAGGCCTTCATAATACAGCTGCTAGTTGAAACTAGCCAACAAGCTAGGGCGATACCAGGAAACATTTCTTCACGGGTTGAAGGGAGGGAGAAGACTTAGGGTTAGTGGCTTCTGCACTTTGTTCCCTACCTGGTCACCTAATGACAGCCCCAGTTGAGATAAAGTCTTTGCAGAAGCTGGATACCATGGTGAAAAACCAGGCTGTGGGGGTAGGAGGAGACCACAGAGGCCCTCCTGATGAATGTGCTGCATCATCTGAGCCCTTCCTTCCTCTGTTCCACAACAACCTCATAACTTGTACTATTTTTAATTAAAATTTTCACTGACAAAGGGGGAAGAAAAGAACTCAAGCCCATCTATTTTATTTTTAGCAATGGCTTCATAGGTGTGTCAAATCTGGACAATAAATAAGGAAGACCATAGAAGATTTGATGCCTTCTGGGAAAGAGTGTTGGACCTACCATGGACTGCCAAAAGAGCAAAGAGATCTATCCTGGGAGAAGTGCAGCCAGAGTGTGTGGTAACCCTCAGCTTCTGGACTCAAAGGTTTCATATGCACCCACATGTCTTTTCTCTTCCTAAGCAAAGCCTAGACCATTTGTATAGTATGTTGTTGTTGTGGTTAAGTGTCATGGAGTCCAGTACAACTCACAGTGACCCTATAACTAGCAGATCTGAACCCTGCCCTATCCTGCATCATCTTCACCATCAACGGGCTTGAGCCCGTTCCTGCAGTCACTGTGCCAATCCACCTGGTCAACAGTCATCCTCTCTTTTGCTGACCTTCCACCTTCCCAAGCATGATGTCCCTCTCCAAGGAACAGCCCCTCTTGACAATTAGTTCAAAGTATGTGAGATGAAGTTTCGCCATCCTTGCCAATAAGGTGCACTCTGGCTGCACTTTCTCCAGTAGCTTGTGGTCTTTTGACAGTCCAGAGAATATTTAACACTCTTCTTCAACACCATGACTCAAAGACATTTATTCTTCGCTTGTCATCTTTATCAATGTCAAGTCAGTCTCAGATACAGAGCAGGTGATTGGAAAGCTTTGCTTGAATTGAATGCCCATTAGTCTATAGACTGACACCCTTGCTGTTTAGTACTTTGGAGAGAGTCCCCAACAACAGATATGTCTAATGCCATATGTCTCCAGATCTCCTGACAGCTGGTACCAGGGGTGTTGATTGTGGGTATAAACAAGATTAAATCATTGACAATGTCAATCTCTCCATCTATCATGATGCTGCCCTTTGGCTCAGAAGTGAGGCTTTTTTCCTTTTTTATAATAAAATTTTTTATTTTGGTATTTTACATTTACAAAAAGTTTCATTTTCATTTTCATTGTTGCACATTTTACCCTCTCTCCCTTCCTTCCCCCTCCCTCAGTTCACTTTTTAAAAATTCATTCATTGTTCCACAATTACCTCCCTTCCCTTCCTCACCCAGGTTCTCTTTCAATGTACTTCTTATCCTGGGCTGTTGTCATACATATAATGCCTAATCATATATTCATTTTAAACAGTTCTTTCCTTCACTGTTTCAGTGAGATGTAATCCATATTGAAGTCTTTGATTCAATACAG